ATGTATAGCTCCAAACCTACATCTGTTGACTCCAGATATTAATTTTTATTATTGTGTCTCTCATCTTGTGCATCTGATTTTTTTGCATCTAAAATTATAATTATCATTTATAACAATACTCACTTAACTCATTTACAACCACAGTTTAATGTCTGACCAGTATCCATTTATAGATTTAAAAACATTTCACTATTCCAGTCTTGTTAGAAATTTCAATTTGGTTTTGTTTATTTTCAATTTTCCACTAGTGTAAACAACACTGCAATGAATATCCTTGTATATAAATCTTACTGTATATCCAGTATTTATTCCTAATGATGAATTTCTAGAAGTATAGTCTTAGGGACAAGGACCTCCAAAAAGTTTATGCTTTCAAGAGTAACATCATATTTCCCTTCAGAAAAGTTACACCAAATTACATACCTGCCATCCATAAGTCCTATGACTTCATTTAAAAAACAAAAACAAAATAAATAAAACAGAACTTAAACCACAAAAAACCCACAACCTTTCCAATCACAGTTTCATCTTAGAAATAGAAGATAGATCTTAGCAATCATGTTTTCTAATCTCCTACACATTATGGACCTTTTCCTTAGCACATCCCCAATCTAGGTGGTATCCATCCTACAATGCATAGGAAGTGGGGATAGAAAATAAAGAACAATTTTAAATATCCCTAAACTACATAGCACTTTTTTTTTTTTTTACCTCTCAGCAATGAAGTACTCTTCAAACTATTCTAAAATGCATCTACAATAAGAGAGCCTCATTGGAAATGAGGACACCTTGGCAGTCTTTCAACATACTTGACACGGGTCATGAAATAATAAAGAATTTTTTGGTCATTCTCTGCCTGGAATGGGTTTGCTTTAGGTGTGGGCAACTGAGTCCACATCACTTGCTCTATGCAGTTGCCCAACAGCTTGGTTTCCCTTGCTTATGGGAATTGAGCAAACAGACGTAGGCTGGTCAGTGGGAAAAGAAAAGTGTCCAGAAACAAAAAATGAATTAAATACTTTTACATTTCTAGGTCAGAGGAGCTGGGAGTAGAACTTCCCCTTCCCCAAACCCTCCCAAATTTCATCATCCAAGTTCCCTTAATTCTAGACACACTGGGATTTAGCAGTGTTTAAAGGAGAAAACGACTTTCAACAGGCTCAGCTTTCCTTGAGTACCCACTGGACACAAAACAAGTCTGGACGTTGCAGTGGTATCCTAAAAAAGAAGAAAAAAGGAGGTAATACAGGTGAGTGATGCAGTAGAAAACGATAAAAAAAAATCTATACCTTTGTGAATTCTGCAAGGGATTGGCAAATTTGACTGCGATAGCAAAGAGAAGAGGAAAAGTAATTCTGCCTGGAGTGAGGGGTGAGGGCTCGGGTGGAAACAGGGCTGTAAAAGAAGGTGGTATTTGTAGATGCTGGGAAGGCTGGTTCCTCTGGCCCCAATTGCTTGTTTCTTGATTCATTTATTTATTTAGGTGCAGATGTGCTAAATAATTTAAATCATGAACTGAGAACCACTAAAACCAGTAATTTGTGTTAATCTTAGCAAACACACATGAACACACGCACATACACTTTCTTAAGGTCTATATATACTCTGCACGCCGTTTGTTGTTGTTTTTGTTGTTTTGGTTTGGTTTGGTTTGGTTTGGTTTTGGCTGTAGAAAGTCATCCCTGCAACGGGAAGGCAAATTGAATTCTAACACCTTCTTCTGCTTTGGGAAACTGGACTAGTAGGGGGTGGGGGATCAGGGCCCAGGACTCATGGCCAAAACTTTGTGCTTCAGGAACCGCAGGGGATCATTCTGATATTGGAACATAGAGCCTTCGGGGAATAGCTCACTTTATCCCTCTTACCCCGGAACAGCCTACTACACACAGCACTTGGCACCCAGTAGGCCATCATTTGTCGAAGAGCTGTTAGGCATCCGCCTTTTCCCCATTAGAGGACAGTCAACCCATCACCACATTATGCTTCTTATTCTTATTCTTATGCCGGTTTTATTCAGCTCGGATCTCAGTAGTTAGATAAACAGGAGAAAGAATGGGGCCGTAGCTTCCAGAGAGAGGAGCTCTGCACCGGCGGGGTGCGAGGAAGGCAGGCGAGGGAGGCGGAGGGAGCCCATACTCCCACCTCGGCGCCTCTCCTCCCGCAGCAAACGCTCAGCCCCCGCCCTCTCTCTCCGTTCCGGACCCTCCACCCGGCTGGCGAGAGGGCAGCGCGGGAGAGGCGGTGGCAGGGCTCTGACTGTCACGTTCGTTCCCTGCTGCTTTTCCCGTCCCCAGCCTCCTCGCCCCTCCTCCCTCATCCTCAGCCGGGGTTTGGAGGCGATTCCCCTCTAGTGACTGAGACGATCGCATCTGGGCGAGCGGCGCTTCGCCTCCCTCGCGTCTTTGTCTCCTCCTCCTGCAAGGCTCCGGGGCCGGGCGCAGGGTCTGCAGCAGCCGCCGCAGAAGCGGGAGCCAAGCGGTGCTCCGCACGGCCGCCCGGAGCCGCACCCTCGCCCGGTGGAGGCGCCGGAGGACGCCGGCCAGCCACGCACAGCCGGCGTCCCGCGCTCCTGCCGCCGCGCACTAACGCCGCCGCCGCGGCGGGGAACGAGCCCTCCCGGCCGGCCGGGTCCGGGGTGGGCAGCCCGGCTGGCAGCGGGGTGGGAAGAGCGGGCGCTGCAGCTCTGGCAGCTCACACCCCCAGGCATACGCATCCAACGCCTCTTCCCTGCGCCACGAGGATGGAGCAGCCACCCCGGCCCGGGACTGGCGCAAGGTAAGGTGCAGCCGCCTGTTGCTTTTCGCAAAGCGCGGTGTCGTCCCTCTACCCGGGTGCCCTAGGCCGTCCCTTCCCGTAACAAGTAGAGGGGAACTGTCACCCCAGGTCAGAGCCACGTCCAAAGCTCCGGTCCCCTTGGCGCAGACCCTGGGAGAGACCCCTCCTGGCGGGGGGAAGTCGACCCCCTGCTTGCTTGCAGCCAGCTGCTGTGCAGTAGTCTGCAAAGTTTTGTGCCCCCCCCCTCCCCGCGCGGTGCTCACCCCGTGCCGTGCAAGTTGCAGGTCTAGTTCTCGCGTGCGCCCTTCCCCCAGCCCTCCCCCACTACCACCCCTGACGTTTGCATCTGCCCATTTCTCTTTCGGTGTTCTTGCTAGTCGACTTTTCACTCCCTGCAGCTCCCGCTAGAGAGGCGAGGGTTTGGGACTCAGCAGTGCTCATCCTGCTCGTGAGGGTGGGATAGGAGCAGAGATAATGCAATAGGAGGGGTGGGACATGGGAGGAGGCTGCGGCCACCCTTGGGGCTCAGTCTAGCACGGTCCATCCTTGCGTATGCCACCCCGAACTCGGTAATGAAACCCTTGGAGTGGCTTGCGGCTGTGTGCCGCGGGAACAGCAAGTGCAGATCCGGGTGGGTGAAGTAAGTCATTTGGGGAGAGAAATGTTCCCGGAGGGGTGGGGGTGGGGGTCTCGGGTACATCTGGTTGACAGGGTACCAAAGGGCTCCGCTTTTAAAGTGGGCGAGGGGCCAGTCCAAGCCGTCACCTGACACGGAGGAAAAAGGATTTGAGTCCGGAGAGCTCTGGCCCGGGTGTGTAAATAGAGATGGGGGGAGGGGCTGGGCACCTGGGAAGGCGCAGAGAGGCAGAATGGAGCCCTGGAATGCCAGAGCCCGGGGGGGGGGGGGGGGGGGGGGGGTGGACGGGTGAGGAGGGGTACTTGGGAAGGCCAGCTTCTGGGTGCCTGGAACGGGGCGATCTTCCTCTCCAGGAGAAACAAACCTCCAGGCGAGATTGTGAATGCGTTGGCGTCTCAGGCGGCGACCGAGTGGTCAGATCATGGACCAGGGATGCTTTTCCTGGCTCTAAGAGGACCAGAGTCCTCTCCTTTCCCCGGCACCCGCTTCTACACCCTTCCACCTCCGCAGCCGAGTCCGTAGACCCACGCCCACCTTCCCTGCCGGGCGCTCTGGAGTCAAGGAGGTCTGCACAGCCGCAGGGTGGGAAGGGGATTCCTGGCCCCCAGGAGAGGCGTGTGTGCCGGGCGGGGGGGAGGGGGTGCGGGGAGTCCCCAGCGCCAGAAGAGTAGACAGGGGTTCGAACCGGTTGGAGGAGAGAGCAGGGGCGGAGGCTGCAGTGGGAAGCCACCTTTCCGTCCCCCCCCCCCCCCCCGCCCTTCCGCAAATCGCACCTGGGCGGAGCGAGGGAGTGGGGGAGCCCCACGCTGTGCCCGCAGGCTCGGGAGCCAAGAGCCCAAGAGCCGGAGGGCGTGCGGGAAACGCAGGGCGAGGGGGTGTGGGCATCCGATGAGGGGAGACTTGGCTTCCAGGCCGGGGCCCCGGGCAGAGGTGGGTCTTTCCACGTTTGGGCCCCTCGGTAGGTCCTTGTGGTTGTTGCAGCCGCCTTAACGGATGCGGGAAGGCGAGGCTCTCTCCTCCTTTGCCCCCCAGCAATCTCGAATGGAAGACCATTTGCGGGAGGGGGTCTAGACTGCTGTTGCAGAGAAGGGGCGCCCCCCCCCCGGGCTCCATTTCTCCAGGTGGGCCACCAAAGGCCTGGAAGCACCTCGTTTAACCCTTCTCTCTCTGAGGAGGTGCACGCCCCTCTCCAAGCAGCACCTTGGAGAGTCCAGTGCCGGGTTTCCACTGGCCCATCGAAGAATTTGGAGGTTGCGTGGGGTCCCGAGCTGTTTGAAACCCTCTGGCCCTCCTTGCCCAGGCCTCCCACGTGCAGGCTTTTCGGGGCACAGCCGCCTCTGCGGTTGCCCTGTTATAATAAGTCTGCTGCTCTCCCGTAACCAGCTGGGAGAAAGCAGAGCTCAGCGCAGTCTCCTTTTCTGGGCCCCACGCCTTGGCCAGACCCTTCCGGAAGAGACGTCGACTTGCCAGGGCTCCGGGGGAGGAATCCTGAGGTCGCTCACTCCCACCCTGGGGCACCCCTGGAGCAGCGAGCTCCAGTCTCCCCGCGGCCCGCTTCAGAGCCCCGAGGAGCGGGACCGGGGATTCCCTCAGCGCTGACTCCCCGCGGCTCCTGAGCACAAAGGCCACACCCTCACAGGCCAGGCATCGCAGGGGACAGAGCGTTGGCTTCTGCCGAATTACCTGGATACCTGAGGTAGGATCCCAGACTGAAGTCCCTCACCCCGCGAGAACTACCCCAGGGCCAATTTCTTTCCGGATGCCTATTACCTGGGTTTGTGCTCGGGCCACTTCCCTCTGCATGGAGAAACAGGTTGGAGCAGGTCCCTGGGGAACTCTTGAAGGAAGACTTGAATTGCACACCAAAGTGTCCCCGTCCGCCCTCCCCCCACCCCCACCCCCACCCCCGCGTTGCTGAGATATCCTGGGGAGACAGGTAGTAATAATAATCTGCGCCAGTGTTTATTGAGCTCTTACTCTGTGCCAGGCACTATTCTTGATATGTTGCGTGAACTATTAGTTTTACTCCTCACAACAACCCTGGAGGACAGTTATTTTTTCCCCCCATTTTATGGGTGAGGAAACTAAACCATGGAGAACTTAAGTTATGTGTTCATTGCCATCCAGCCAGCAAATGGGGAAGCTGGTTAATCTTGTGGGTAGAAAACACTGGGTGTGTCCCAAGCTCCCTGACCCTGTTTGGTACTAAAGACCTTTTGTCCACAAGGAAGTATGGGTGAGGTCTCCCAGCCCTTTACTCCAAACCCTGCAGCCATACTGTGGGAGCGCCAGTCCTTGCCTGTATCACGTGGGAGGCTGATGGGGCATGTCCCCTCTCTCAGAGTCTGTTGGGGTACATCTTGGTAGAATGGGATCCTGGTGCTGAAAGCAAATTTAGGCAACTGGCTGCTGGCAATGGACTTCTTTTCTGAACCTTTTGGCAGACCTTCCCATTTAAAATATGAAGAGCAGTGGAGAGGGGGGAATCCAAACGTGAACAGAGATCTATAGTCACAAACCGTAGAACCTGTGTTTTGCCAGTGTCTTTCTAGTGATTGAACCACAGAATATTAGAGCTAAGGGGATCTCAGATATCACTGCCCCCAATCCAGAAGCAGGGAGGAGATTCAGTGATATGTTCAAGGCCACTCTGTGTGTTCCTAACATAACCAGTACTGGAACCACTGTCCTCTGACTCTTGGCCAAAATAAGCCATGTTGATGCATAAATGGATTATGGCCACTGCTGTTTTTCAGCATCTTAAAATTAATTCGGGAAAAACTTATTAAAAGAAAGTTCATTTTTCTAATTCTTCATAACTGCCTCAGTCAGCATAACCAGAAAAAAAATAACTATCATATAACGGATACACCATCACAAATGTGTCTCATTTGCAAAAAAATTGCAACCAAATACTTATAAGCCTTCAAATCAACAGCGTTTAAGTAACCATGCAAACCCTTAGGTGACGTTAAATAAAAATGAATGGATTCCCAATCATTGTAGCAGTCTTTTTGTCAGGAGGAGTAGCTCTGTCTGGCCTCACTCCCAAGTATTTGGGAAAATAAGAGAAATCATAGTAGATCAGAGGGGAAAATTCTTTTGAATACAATGAAGTGATTTGGTATGATTTCTTCTGAATTTCTGACCGTTGGGTCACACTTTAGGCTTTTGCAAATCTGAGGCAAAACAATATCGTTCTAGCGGATATACCTGAGGCTCAGAGAGGGGGGAAATAGCCCTTTGCCACTTTGTTACCCACAGAGACCTTATAACAAAGGGACCTTCTTCAGCAGCCTCGGGATGCCATATAGCCCTAGCCATTCTTATAGGACAGAATTTTGGTTTCTAAGAACATCCCATGTCTTTTCTCTGTAGCTACTGGCATCAGGAGGTCCTGCCCCTGGAGACAAATCAAGAAAAAGTCAGCCGGAGTAAACAGAGAGGAGGATTGGGAAAAACCCGTTTCTTAGAGCCACACTGAGGGGTGAGAGTTACAGGCGGACAGATGGTGGAAGCTTGGTGCCTTTTATGTAGCCTGGGGTAGGGTTTGCATCCCTGATGTTGTGAGAAACCAGGACAGAAGCCCTCAGGCAGTAACTAGGGGTGGAGGAGGGAAAGGTGAAGGTGAGGGATCACTGCTGTCAAGAACCTGGGGTGGGGGTAGATGGAGGTCGGCTGATAAAGGGCTTTGGGGTGGCAGGAATGACCATGGAGAGGCTGAACTGAGAGATGCTGTTCCTTCCCCTTCCCCGCCTCCCCACCACCTCAGTTTGCCTTCTGTGTTGGGTTGACCGGTCCGAATCCCAGAATCCCCTGTTGTCTCGAGGGGAGCACTCACATTTTTAGAGAATTTATTAGAAATGAATATTATTTTATGTAAGTCAGAAAACGAAATATGCATAGCTGTCCCAATCTTCAGGGGAAACCATGAAAATTCACATTAGAGTGGAGATGCTGGTCTAGTGAGATCACAGCATTGTTAGAGGAGAAGAGATGTACCATTGAAATCAGGTATGACAAAATCCAAAAGAAATGGTCTCTCTTTTAGGAAGCACGGGAAGAAGAATCCTTTTTGATCTGGGCAGGTATCCTGGTTCCCAATTTGTAGCTTTTCAGGGATGATAGGAGACTTAGCTGGAGCCTCATCCTGTTTATGTGGTTGGCATCCCTTCTACCTGGTTTACTGTGGCTTTTATGTGGTGTAGTGTTAAAGGGCCCACACGGCACTTCTGCTGGGACAATTCTTTGCGCATGTGTCTACCTTAAATCATATAAACTGATATCAGTTTGTTGGCAGAAGAGAAACTGCTGTTAAACAGCATGTGCTGGGGAAAAGAGTATGAAAAAAAAAAAAAACAACAAAAACCGAAGCCTTTTGTTCAGAACACAATGAATAAACGCATTTATGCAAGACATAGCATGAATTAAAATTCTCAGTTTGGGTGAGATATTTGAAAATAAAAGCATAATCAAGGACCGGAGCATCTGAACTTGACCTACTTTGAGTAACAAGAGAGGCCGTATAATAAGTTTCTGTGGAGTTTGAAGAAGACGTTGGAGGGGGAAAAGGTTCACTAAGTAGAACCTGAGAAGTTTTACCCTTGTGTATTTTATTTTAAACAAATATATACTATCTTAATTTACACTTAAGTTTGAATATTCCATAAGATCAATAAATCTAATATTTTATCTGCAGGTTGTGACTTTGGAGAGCTTTATTCTACAAGTGGTTGGGAACCATGATGGCAGCTTTTATATCTGACATACTAGTATAAAATTGTATATCCCTTATAAAAGCCCAGTGAATTAATACATTGTAACATGGCATATGAAATTTTATGTGAGAATGAAGTCTGCAGTCTTCTCAAGAGCTAACAGCCTTGGAACATGCTATTTTCCCAAAGGGGATGGGTTGTTGGCAAGGGCAGTATAATTCATTTAAAATAAATAAATGAACAAGTGTTGAAAAAGAACCACCCTGATAAAAATGGATTTTTTTCTTTAAGAGGATCAATGAACAGATCAGTGAAGTTTATAAAATTTGTGGTTTCAATTTATCCCAAGTTCTCTGAGCTGCTTCATATGTTAACAACTCTCCAATGTAAGCGTCACTACACTTTCAGATAGTTTTCTAAAAAGAATTGTGCCTTTCCTTAGAATTAAATTGGAAACAGAGGTGCCTGGGTGGCTCAGTCGGTTAAGCGTCCGACTCTTGGTTTCAGTTCAGCTCATGATCTCACGTTCGTGGGATCGAGCCCCACGGAGCCTGCTTGGGGTTCTCTCTCTCCCTCTCTCTCTGCCCCTCCTCTGCATGTGCTCTCTCTCTCTCAAAATAAATAAACATTGTTTTAGAAGAAGAAGTAAAATAGAAACATTAAAAAAAAATAAAAGATTGTGCACCATTCTCGAACACAGAATCACCCTCGACAAAATGAAGCATGTCTTCAAATGCAGATTCGTTTCCTTTTTTCTCTTTCTTCTCTTTATTTCTTCCCTTTTGTTCTTTCTTCCTTTCATTTTTTAGGCCATTGATACACGTTTTCAGTCTACATGTAAGCCTTCAATACCTTGCCGGGAGAGTTGGCTATTTCAGGACAAATGTTTCCCCTGGTGAGGGCAGGGAGGAGGCGCAGTGCACTTGGATGTTTGTCCAGAGCGAAAGCACACAGGTCATGAAGGCACACTGGCTTTCCCTCTAGTCTAACCTCTTCACTTCTGATTTAGAAAAGCAGTGCTGGTAAAGGCCTGCTTACAGAGGGCTCCCCCTGTTAGCAGTGACTAAGCAGTATACTTCTCTTTTGCTACTCTGGGAATTTATGCACTGAGAAGAATCCTGGTCTAGTCTGCTGACCTTCCCTAGACATCTGGTCAGCAGGGATTATCAAGCAGGAGTGTTTCCCATCGTCCTACAAATTATATTTAAGCTTGCGTTGGCAAAGGCAGGTACCCTTCTCCCATGGAATGTTTGGTTGTCATTTATTCAGGTGGTCAGTCTGTTTTTTGGTGGCTCCTTAGAAACGTGTCATCTAGACAAAATAAATGCCCTTCCCCAGTGCAAGGTGGACTGTAGGCGCTTGGTGCCCGAAGCATCTGCTGCAGAACCCAGGAAGGAGGGAGGACTGACAGCCAGCTGGGTCAGGGGGGCGAAGAGAGAGGTAACAGGATACAGCAAGGAAAGAAAGGGGGTGAGAGAGGTAGGCCAGGAAAGAAAACAGACCACCTGAAGGAAGAAAACCCAGCTCTGTGCACAGAAAGACTAAATGAGATTCGATAGTATGCCAAACATGAGGGATAAGATTTAAAAGGCATAAAAATAAGAAGATACAGAAAGCTAATGGGGATGATAAAGGGCTGAAGAAGTGTACAAGGAAAAATAACGTACCCAAATAATTCCTCAAGGTGTAGGTCAAAGGAAAGGCAGGCTGGCTGCTCAGCCAGAGGGCCTGGTCTCATACCCACATTCCCCTGTCCCCTGTTCATGTGGCTTCTCTACCACCAGGCCAATCAATGGCTCTTCATCTCATTGATGCCTGTGGCCCTTTGGCAGTCCTCCAAACTTAGGAACCCGCAGAATGACGTGTTTAAAATGCTTCAAATGCAACGCAGAAGATTATAACACTAGATACACACACACGCGCACACACACGCACACCATTGTAAGCTCCTAATGTATGTGTAACAACAAGATCTGGT